CCCAGTGTAGACTATGTCTGCCAGCTGAAATTCCCTTCTGGCAATTACCCTCCATGTGTGGACGATAATCGAGATCTGCTTGTCCATTGGTGCCATGGTGCCCCTGGAGTAATCTACATGCTCATCCAGGCCTATAAGGTACTTTGTATTTTCTTATTTTAGAAATAGATTGGAAAACATAATAAAACTTTGTAATTTAAAATTAGTCTTATAGATAATTCTTAATGGAGCAATAAATAATAAATCACCTGTTGGACCTAAGATCACTTCTGTAAATGGGTTATAATTCATTTTTACAGTATCCATCTATACCATAAGCAGACATTATTTCATAGACGAGGAGATTGCTTCACTGACTTTAGAGAAGCCAAGGTTGTACCATCAGGGGCAGAGCCAAGATATATTTTTAAATATGCCAAAAGCTCAATTAAAAATAGAAAGAAATAAACCAATCTTTTGGTGCCATAAGTGCCAGATCTACAGATTACAAATCTACAGATTATAAATAGGTACTGGCATCCGATAATGTAAATAAACTTAGTATATCAGACTCTACATTTTAGAAAGTTGGATATAATAGAAACACTTTCAAAAACTAAGGAAGTAGCTGTTTGCTCTATTATACTGTCAAACCCATTCATTCCAGCAAGTGCTGTAGTAAATGTAAAACTGCCTTATTCTACTTTTAAGGATACTTAGTATTAATACTTAGCTATTAAAAATGTCTACTCAAGAGAATATCTGTGAAGTCTTTGATCAAGATTTAGGAGTCAGCAAAAGATTGTCAAGGTGTGTGTCTATTTTTCTGACGAAGTTATAGTGTTTTACGATCAATTTGCATATAAATACAAGACCATTTCTTCTCTAGCGTGTAAGAAACTTCTAGTAGTGAAGAACATCATTGTTAGCAAAGAAGATAGCATATGTTGTTTGGAGAGTGACTGATGATAACAACAAATTGCCAGTTAAATAATGCAACTTCATCCATAACTCACACATACACACAAAATTTAGACTGTACAGACAAGGTCGTGCCCAGTTATTAAAAAAAAGCAAAGCTAGTGCACTTAGTGCTTTGTCACCACCAGTATGATACATCTCTCTGTCACAACATTCCTCACCCTCTCTTGTCAAGCCACCTTCCTGTGTCTACCCCTTCCTTACCCTCCTCTTTACCTTTCAGGAAGGAATGTCAGTAGAACTTTCTTTTATGTCCCTTATAAGAAAACAGAATGTCCCTTACTCCTGCAGGTGTTCAGAGAGGAGCAGTATCTCAGTGACGCCTACCGGTGTGCCGATGTGATCTGGCAGTATGGGTTGCTGAAGAAAGGCTATGGACTGTGCCACGGTACCGCGGGGAATGCCTATGCCTTCCTGACACTGTACAACCTCACACAGGATATGAAGTACCTGTATAGGGCTTGTAAGGTAGGCTTCAGAGCTGCCAAAGACAAGTCATCTCTTTCTAGGAGGTTATAAAAAGAGCTTCACATAGTCTGGCTTAATTTATTTTTTAAACTAATCCTTAAGAAAAACCTTCAAAAGCCATTAAATTGAATTAGCTTTTTATTTTTAAAGGACATAATTCTACCCAACAGCACTTACAAAAAAAAAAGAAATACATAGGGTAGTTTTGTTTCTTTCTTTCTCTTTTATAACCTTGGAGATAGGTGGCCCAGGTAGCTCATTAACTCCTCCTATGCTGCATATTCCCCTTCAGACCATACGTTTTTCTGCATTTATCCTTTTCTCTGACTTGATAGTTTTTGACTTTTCAGAGTAATTCTTAGAGACAGTCTCTGTGAATTTTTGGAAGTGTCTGAAAGAAATCACTGCAGTAATTTAACTTGGCCTCCTTTTCAGTTTGCTGAGTGGTGCTTAGATTATGGAGAACATGGATGTAGAACACCGGACACCCCCTTCTCCCTCTTTGAAGGTATTCTTCACACATTAGTATCTACTTCTCTGCTTGATACTTAATGTACTTCAATTTGAATTTTATCAGCAAATTAATTTTATAGCCATTTCTTAAGCTACTTCTTTATTTCCTAATACAATAAGTCAGTATTAAAAATTAGCAGCTGTACTACCACAGACCTAACTAGTAGTCATATGGTGACTACTTTATGGAGCCAGGTACATGCTGAGCATTTTGCTGATGGCTGCCGTTAATCATCTCAGCCAAAACATATAGGCATTATTATCCTGATGTCACAGAGGAGGGCACGGAGGGTCAGAGGTAAGTGGCCGTGGTAAAAGAGCTCACATATGGTAATGGCAGGGCTATGACTTGAACTTGTTTGGTTCCACTCTTCTGCTGTCTTCCACCTGGGTAAAGAGGCTGGGCACCTCAGTAGTGATTTGCTCTAATGTTGAACCGCAACATATATAAATATAGACAGACTCCTAGTTCTTTTAAATCATTGCCATTAATATAATATTGTTG